AATAATGAATTACAACAGATCCCAAATCAGCAGTTATGAATTACTCTCTGCTGTCAGGCATCAGACCTACTTCTGCTTTCACTGAATTTAAGGGGAACTCTGACATTGGCTTCAGTGAGGGGGGGATTGGGCTCGTTATGATAATTTTGACTTATAAAACACATATATTTGTAATTTTATATAATAACTTTCAGAGCCTTCCTTAAACCACTACAAGTAAATGACTTAAAGGCTGAGCCTGAAATGTCATTGCAGTGGATTTAAAACCCTGGATGATCTTATAGACTGTTACCATAAGTTCTGCAATGGTGTGGGACAGCATGCTGAATTAAGGATGGGATTTGAAGACTGACTTTGGATTTCATTGCTTTTGTTAAACTAGAAATTTTAATAGATGGTCCGTGTATGACTGAGTGTGAATATGTGTGTGTGTATATATGGGGTTTAGTATAAATTATAATCTAATTTTTGTGCCTCCAAGCTTGGGTAATGCTATAACACCAAAGAACAAACCTCATGTGGAAATGTGATTGATGCTGTCTTAATGTATGAGGTAAAAATAAAAAGGGTTATAAGTGACATACCAGATGACAAAATAAGGTAAGAAAAGTTATCAGGGAAAAGTAAAAGCCTTGGTCTGTTTATGCACAGACTAAAGAAAGCATCATAAAAGATACATTGCCATCCACCTTGGTTTTATTTGCATGGTATATTTTATTAACACTTTTTTTTATCAACAGCAGTAAAAGTTAAGCCATCTCAGAACAAGAAGATAGAAGCTGAAGTCATTAAGCATAACTACTTCAGTAACTACTCTTTTTTTCTGAAGTTAGGAATAAACCTCTCCCACAAAATGTTAACAAATTAATAGTCACACAAAACACCAGTGCAGCAAGGGAGTAAAGTCCAGGTGTTTTTATTGTGCTTCCTACAGACTTTATCACAGACAGGAAAATGTTTGAGCTGTTTTCAGGGTTTTTTTTTTCAGAATCACTGTGTTTGTCTCTAACAGGGACATTTAATTGACAAGCATGGATGCAGTGAAGGAAACTGCATCTCCTAGTCTGAAAGGCAAAATTGGAAAACTAAGAGCAGGGGCCATAGATAATTTTAGGGGTTTTCATTACTCACAATACTTAACAATAGCATCTCTCTTGGCTGTGCATGATGATTTTGATTTGACATGATAGGCACATGTTTCATCTTAAAATCCTTGAGTATGTTAAACATCATCATTTGAAGATCTGCTCCATTTAGATACACATCTCAGTAATATGGGGTGGCAGTATCAACAGCTTCAGGAAATGGCCTTTCTCCATTAAACATAATAGGAAACATGGAAAAGTCAAAGTGCTCATTTTCCCTGCTGCTGTATTGGCCAGAGCATCTTTGAACTAGCAGCAAATATGATAAGGTAGCAGCGAGTCCACCTGTCAATGTAGTAGATCAGGGGGTACCTGGAAAGGGGCTAGGAGGTACTTGTGGGTGGGTGGGGATGGAGCGTCACCGCCCACCACCCCATGCTGCCACCTTCCAGGAGCAGAACTAAGGGTGGGGGGTGGGTGAGGGCAGTAGCTCCCCTCTGTGGGCTGCACAGGTGCCACCTGACTGGCCAGATGCAGCGGGGGAGGAGGGGAGGAGGAGGTTTGCATGTGATGGCTGCCACTGCCATCCGTTACCCTGAGCCGCTACTTACAAGCCGCCCCCACATTCTGCTTCCAGCTGCCGCTACCTCCACTGCCCCTGCTCCACCAGAAGTGTACCCAGAAGGGGTACACTCTTTTAAAAAAGGTTGAAAACCCCTATAGTAAATGGTCATATTTCCTGACTTTTCATAGTGATTTTCTTTTCTTTCTTTTTGGTGGCATAGAATAGAGCTGCTTCTCATCAACAGGACCTAGATATTCTTCAGAAAGGATACCTTCTTCAATTTCAGTCCTTGTTACTTTCTTGCTCCACTTTTCTTTCTCTCTTTAGCTATTATTTTAATCAAATATTGCTAAGGGATGAAGTCATTTCCATTCCCCAATTATATGCTTTGTTGGAGAGCTTTTAGTAATGCTACTTTTCCTATCCCATTGTTCTAAAGGAGGCAATAGGACTTAATTCTACAGTGGATCTAAGAAACTTGCCTAGATACATCAGAGATTTAAGTTCCACATGGTAATTTTAGTCTGTTTTTTTCTTCCTTAAATCCTTAGGATGAGTTTATAACTTGTATTCAAGTCACTGGAAAATTCTACACAGAAAATTGCTTATTCTGGAACAATGCTATCTCCTGGCTTTTCAATAGTTACAGTGGTCTTCATCAAATGAGTGCTAGTGAAAACTGCATGCCAAAGACATCAGTCCACACTGAGATCTAGCCCTTGGATTTGGTCAGGTAATGCAAAATGTTTAGATTATGGCCACTAGCAGTCAGCAGGAAATGCTTTTGCTGGTGGAGAACTCCCCACATCTTGAAGAGATGACAGAAAGGACTTTTACACTAAACATCTCTTCCTCAATATAGGGCATGTTGGAGAGGAAAGGGACATTTTATTAACAGGAAGATAATGGGAGAGTGGAGCCCAGCTATACATGTTATCCACTGGCTATATTGGGGATTATAAATCTGAGATATAAATTAGAGCAATCTATTGACTGTTTTTATTGCGTAGGATTGAGGCCATCACAGATTAATTTCCTGAATTGGCTCCCTGCCTCCCCTGCTCTTTTGAGTGAAACTCTGGTGCAGGAGAGAATCTCCCTTGTTGAGTTATACAGGTACCCAACTTTAGCAATTGAGATCTTGTTCTCCATGAAGGATCTAGTAAGGTCTACAGACAGCATACATTCTGTTCTGCTCTTTGAGCTTTAAGACAGATCTAAAAAAATCCACATTTTAAAAAAAATTTATCATGATATGTGCTTTACAGAAAAATAATGCCAAATCTGTGCAATCCAGAACATCTGAAGCATGAGTCCTTTCAGCATTTGAACCAAACCCAAATCCATCCACATCAATTCAGTTATTTAATTATTTTCAAATGACTCTGCCACGTTGCCCCCAGAGCCCACTTACGTTTCTTGCCAGTACAATTGGCATTGTTAACTGGCTCCCTATTTATATTTACATCTTTAGAACAATAGGATATCGTATGAGAAACATGCATTTTGTGATACATCTATCTAAATGTGTCAACATGTAGCAAGGGATTTCCTTTGAGCAGGTGCAAGTTTTGGAAAAAATCAGCTGTATTAGAAAAGGAGTTGCATTTGAAAAAGGCTGGTCTGACTTGCCAATTGTGAAATTAAGTTTAAATAATACCTAACAGTAATTTCTTTCCATTGATGAGTATTTTCCCAGATAGGAAAAAAGTTTATTTCAACTGGGATGGGGCTTGACATAAACATCATGCCCTTTTAAAGTACCTTATAAAGTTGCAGCAGCTATCTACTGGAAGGGGGTTGACCTTGTAAAATGAAAGCAATATTAATTGCCCAAACTTAGTATTGTTTGGCTTTAAGTAAAACTGCAGACAGTGTAATTGTAAGATTTAATAACAAACATAGGATATAGATCACTTGGATACTTTTTTCAGTACTGACAGATACGAACATGATGCAGTACATTATAGTAACAAAGAACTTATGGGTAGAAGAGAGATACTAAATCGTTAAGCCAATGCCCCTACAAACTGAGCATCTCTTCTTCATCAATCTCTTGCAGTTGAGGATGATTGTCTTCTGTGATTGTCTTATTTAAGTGTCCAAAGATGGCTGATGAGGCCCCTCTGGGGTTGATAGACTCTACTGCAGCGTGGACATGTGTTTCTGTATGGGGTGGGTGGCTGGATTTTTGATTTGGTCTGTGATGCACTGTTTCTGCCACTCCTACTTTTCCACCTCCCATTGTTGTTGTCAAGTTTCAAAGTGCTGAGATTTCTTCAGCACTTCCTCCATTTGGGGTGGTCCTGGGCAATAGTCTCCCATGAGTTGACATCAATGTCACATTTTTTTAAGTTGGCCTTGAAGACATCCCTGAAGCACTTTCTTTGCTCTCCTCTTGAGCATAAATTGAGTGTATAGTACCTTCAGTACAGGGCATGTCAGGTATTAAACTCAAACTAGTAAACCATAATCAGGATTTAAGCTTATGTTGTATAAGAAATAAAGAAAAGTAGGCATGTGGTAAAGTAGGCTGGACATATGCCAGGAGGGGATAATACAACAATACAGTTCAGTGTTACAATATTTATGCATAAAAAACTGCTTTTCATTTCATTGCTCTTACTACGTTGGGTGAGTTTCATATCTATGTTGTCCACTTTTCTTTTTGTTCCAGCTAACAGACATTAATTTCCTAAGACAGAAAAAGATCAAGGCAAATGTTTTGGTCAGTGTCTTGGGTACTAATCCTAAAATGTCTCTTTTGCAGGTAATTTGATAAGGTAATCTCCAGCAAAGAAATGGGGATTTACCTCAATCTTGAGAGGCTGCTGATGCCACCTACAGACTATCAACTATCTCTACAGCTGCTAAACTCACAAAAAGTTCTTTGTCTTTGAAGACTATTATGAGATCCATTTGGAGGACTCTGTGCTTTTCTGCATTAAAAGAGAGATTACACTGTGTCCAAAAGTATTTGATTTCTCTTGACTGGGATGTTTTGTGCACTTTTGAGTAACTGGAGGATTTATGACTCTATGCTTTGATGTTAAAAAAAAGCTCTGATAGACTTGTCATGAGACACATTTTTATTTATTTAAAACTTATTAGATCCTATCTCGACAGAGCATTGCTCCACATTTGATCTTAGCCCCACCACATAGCCTTTCTGTAGCAGTCACCCCATTTTTATTGTCACTGATGAAAATAGCCCTTTATCTATTCAACTAGCTTTTCCATGAGTTCCAGTGCATCATATGTTTTCTAGTTGGTCTAATCCACTCCCATGTCTTCAATTACTAATTTTAGTCTGAGAACTGACAAATCTTCCTCTCACCATCTGATAGAGTGGCCGCATGGCCTAATGGATAAGGCGTCTGACTTCGGATCAGAAGATTGCAGGTTCAAGTCCTGCTGCGGTTGCGAAACTCTGGGTTTGCCTCTAGTAGTGACACAGGCAGCATTCCTGCCTGCCATATGGGAGATCTGGGTTCATGTCCCAGCTGAGGTGACTTGGGGTGAGTGAAGTAACAAGAAGCAAATCTTCTTACTCATTTGAGTCCCATTTCTCTTTTTGGGGTTTTTTGTTGTTCTCCCGCCCTGGCGGGGGGGTCGGGCTAGAAGATCTACTAGGTCCCTTCCGACCCTTAATCTATGAATCTACGAATCTATGATCTGTCTCCCTCTAACCGGCAGAGACATAACCAGGCATTTTGGCTCCTGGTGCATGTCATGTGCAGAGCACCTCCCTACATGCTAATATGTAACAAATTACTTCCATTTCATTTGGTGCCCCCTGCACTAAGATACCTGGTACCAGGGCGGTGCTGGCACTACCTTTGCTGTAGTACTGCTAACCAGTTCTGCATCTTAAATTGACTCTCTCACTCTATATGTTTCACCAGAAGCTTCAGCATATGGGTAAAATTCTCATCTTTCTAAATTCAATGTCAAAATTCAAATTGTTTCCAGTGGAGCCAGGGTTTCATCCACCATATCTAAAGGTGAATCCTGGCTTTTCTTTTCAGAACCTCCCCATCTCTCCCCTTTTCTGTCACTGTTAACAGCAGTATCATCTTGCCAGATTCCCAGACCCACATCTTCGCCCAGAAACTCTTCTTTGAACAGTTTTATCTTGTATCACACATCCATCACAGGCCATTTCCAGTTATGGCTTTCTTACTCCATAAAGATCTTGACTTCTTGTTTTGTCAACAAAAGTTATTTCATTCCCTGTTGTCATACCCATTTTTCACTGTTTCATAGTTTCATGGTTGTTAGTGGCTGGAAGGGACCTTATAGATCATCGGGTCCAGTCCCCCTGCACTTGGGCAGCAAAGACTGCTGGGATCAAATGACCACATCAAGATGTTTTCTGAAGATCACCAGGGCTGATGACTGTACTGAATGTCTCCTTCCTTGCCCCTCTGACACTTCATTCAACCCATTTGTAATGCACCTTCTGTGCTTACCCTTCTTTGCCCATTTCTTTCACCATGTTACCTATAGGAACCTATAGGAACAATATGTAACCAGGTAAAGTAAAAAAAAAAAAAAAAGATTGCTACAGATTTTTCCCCTGAAAGCCACATAGTTTGTTATGTATTACAATGTTACATATTTTGTTATATGTACAGGGAAATATGTCCTTGTACAAAATAATGTATCTGCTTTCTAGAGTAATTGTTAACCATCATCAGTTTCCCCTCAGGGCTTGTATCTACTCTTTTCTCTGGAAACTGGAATCACATATCCTCTGTCCATTGTTACAGCTTTGTCTAGTGTTGTGTCAAGAAAGTGGTGTCAAGGCCTACTAGCCTAAGTAAATATATCCCTTTGTCCCACATATAAATAGTGATACCAGGGGATATACAGAACTAGAATTATGGTTAATTGTGTTCATTTTTAATGGGGAATTCCCTGCCAGAATATTATTAAATAAAACCTTTCTGTTAGAAATACGTGGTTTGAGTGCTTCAAAAGGCGCTTGCATGTTATTATTAGCAAATGTTTTGAATACACAGATTTTTGTAAACTGACTGAATTATACAAGTTTAGAGAAAAAAGTGCTACATTTTTGAGTGACTGCCCATTTAGCAATTTAAACTATTTTGTATCGTTAGCTTAGATTTGGATACTGCTTCTATAATGGGGTTCTGCACAACTTGAGGTGAGCAGTAGATCAGCTGGGCGCTATGGGAGGTTTGCCAGATTAATTTGGCCTGCTGCCTGTTGTTCAATCTGGAGCCATTGAATCCTTGGGTTTCCCTGGGACCATGCTGCCAAATACTCCATATGGGATGCCCAGAAATATAGCTTAACGTTAGGGAGATTTAGTTCTCCTATGTCTCAATGGGCCTATACATTTTTAACGGCAAATTCTTGTTTTTTGCCTGCCAAATGAACCTTGAAAAGGTCTTGTGAAGCTTATTAAAGAATGAGGTTTTAAATTCTCTGAAGCAGTTGCAGTTGACATAGGAGACTGGGGATATTTATTTTGAGAAGCAACATCCTTCTTATAATTATTATAAGATTCATTCCTAAAATTTAATAGCAAGGGTTAATGTTTAATTTTGGAATAGTCCTTAGATTTGAGAGTATGTTAGCACAGACACACATTAATTCCATTTTGGGGTGATTTCAAAAGAAATTGGGCTATTATCTCAGGTTCAAATTCTACAAAAATTTGTTTAACTCAGTTCATTAACTGAATATTGGCCAGTAGTTATATTTGAAGAATGAGCAACCGGATTATGAAGCAAGCAGCAAGAGTTAATTGGACTATAATAACACATTATGATTTTATTGCATAAATCATATTCCTTTTCTGTAATTTGAAACTCATCATTGTTTCCATAAAAGGTTCAATGACTAAATAAAACAGGGGTAGTAACAGAGGGCATCTTTGTCCAGTTGTATACGATTAAAAGGGAATGATAATTCACCATTACTACACAGATTTGTTTGTGGGGTCATATATTGTGTTATTATTAAGGCCCTCAATTTTGTTCCCAAGCTATTCTACAGGGTTAAATACCCTTTTTTAAATGGCCATAAAACAGCTGCTAATATGAGCTTATATACTTTTAGCTCTATCTGTTAAGGTTTTCACATGATCTACTAATTAAAGTCTGCTTATATCTGTTGAAAGAACTTATCTAGCTTAGAGGACAAGTTGCAAGTTAAGATTTTTAAAGTTGTTATAACCAAAATAAATAATCTTATCAGAGAAAATTTTATGGGTTGTTCTTAGGTTTATTTATTTTTAATAACTTGTCTGTTTCCTCTTTGTGATAAAAAGGCTTCACGGAATAGTAACTTTAAAGACATTATTCAATAGTACAGAATGTTAAAAAATTTACTGGATATTTTTTTTATTTCATTAAAACTTTTTTGATTGTGTCACTCATTTCCTGTAAAATCACAAACCTGTATGGATGGACTTCCATGGTGGGTATGTGTGTACATGTGTACATGCACACCTATGTTTCTGATGTCAGAGTTGTATTGCAGCCATGATAGCTGAGGAATTATGCAAAAGGCAAGGATTTTTGTGGTGATACCCTTTACTGGAAAAACTGCATGGTTGGGATACAGTCAGACAAGCTTTTGAATGCAAGGTATTTTTTTTCAGGTCCTGCATCGGGTCCTTAATATTGTGCTTAGGAGTAATTCCCATGAAACAAATTGGGAACACTTAAAAGTAAGCATGTCAGGCAAGTCTTTGCAGGAGCAGGGCCTACATCTGTTACAATGTAAACTGTTTTGTGCAATATTAATAATTTTACCTTAAATATAGTAAATTGAGATTTAACTGTTGTGATGAACAATCAGAAATGATCTGGTTCTACAATACCTGTCTTATGACTTAAGATTTGATTTCTGGTGTAATTTAAAACCATACAGGCAACCTTTTTATCTAAATTATTTTATTTCTTGGATGATGTATAGGACAGTGTACACATTCAGTGCATCATGTACTGTATCTGCTTTTACTTCCAGTGAGTCATATTAATAAAATATGTATGTATTATATTAGACATTGCAATAGTAGAAGGTCTTTCTGTAAAATAGAAAATACTTGCACTTTGTATTTGTAAATGTGTATTTTCCAAGGTCTGTGCTGAACACTCTTTAGCAGAATATGCAAATAAAACTCCCACGTGCTGCTTTATAAAGTCAACCAAAAGTGACTGACAGAGTTTCCTTGTTGAGTAAGGAAAAATTAAAGAAGTATGAAGATAATCTTATGGCAGAATCTGTTTTCAATGGGCTGGATTTTCCTCTCCCTACAAATGCTTAAAACGGGAGTACATTTCTGTTCATATTTCAGGCAATATATTAAAGTTTTATGAAGATTGTACGTGACATTTAAAAAGATGACCACAAAACTTTCTTTAGAAGATGGTGTGTACATCATGTGTATACTTCAGTTTGCTTAACTTTTATCGGGATTAGAATTTTTATTTTCTCTAAAGGCATTGCAAGCACATAAGTGTAATTGGAGAAAGCAAAACTAAAATATTCACTCTTAAGACCTTGTTTCATTTCCTCAGAACATGATTCCTCATCACAAGGGGTAATCCTAGCTCTGGGATCATGAATTGTAACAACTGCATATTTATGGCCAGTGAGCATTAGGAGTGAAAATCTAATTTGTGGTTGACATTCTATCTGATGTATTTCAATGGACTAGCTTAGAAAATATGAAGGGAAATGGTAATATGTAGGTTTTGGACAACAACCTGATATGAATGATGAATTCTACAAAAAAATCTTGCCTATCAAACTTTGTTCAGTTTTTAAGAGCTGTCTACCCTTATGGGCATAATTTAAATTACCTGCTTTTACATTATACTATGATTGCTCCTGCTGATTTGAGAGGGTGCATTCCTGGCACTACTTTGAAGTGGATGATTATACAAGAGTAAAATATACATGGTTTTATCTTGCGTTCCCCTTTTCAGTTAGAGAGTCCTAATCCCAGGGTAAATTTTGATGCGAGTCTGTGACTCCTCTTAAATCTAAAACAGTCTAAAATGACATAATTGACATCTGTCTCCATCTCCTCAGTATGTAAATTACTCTAAATTGGACTCGGCCACGTCCACATGAGCCCAGACATTTGTTTCTCTGGGGACAAGCAGCAGAACACCTTGTGCCACTGCTGCTTGTCCCCAGGGAATGCCCATGCCATGTGCTCTCTGATGTGTGGCAGGTTACCTTGGATGGCCCCAGCAGTTTTACCTGGGGTTCTGGGGGCTTTGGGGGAGCTGCAGCTGCAGTGCTTCTGCAGCTGGGAGGCTGGCTGGCAGCTGGAGCATGGCTTTGGCAGGCTAGGCTCCAATTTTGGGTGGCATGCACTTCTGCCACATGCAGCACCCCAGTTTTTTAAGGTATGAGTTTTTTTGACCCAAGGTAGCAGCGCAGGGATCGCCTGCATGTGTGATGTGTGGCACCAGAGACGGGTCTGTGGTGCCACATACTGCATGTCTGTGCTTGTCTGGATGCTGCCCTTGAGGCCTTTTTTCCACTAGGAAAAGGTTGTGTAACTCACATTAGCTAACATATGGTAACTAACAACATTTTCTCTAGTGAAGATGTAACTTTGCAGCTCATCTACATGGGGAAATTCAGAAAAACTTCATCCAAATTATTAAAGATATGAAGAGTGGGGTGGGGTTTAAAGTGGCTTTATTTGGCTTAGTTTAACAATGTTGTAAACAAGCATCTTTTTAACATTAAATAGTAGTTGCCAATGTTGCTTTCATATATAGCACAGATTGCTTAGTTGAGTACCTTTGTTTAGAAATTTTTTTAGAAGCATTTTATTTTACTTCATTCTCAAATAAAGCTGCAGAATTTTAGTCATCAGATTATTTGCACTTGCCAACTTTCAGGTGATTCTTGGATGGATGATAGTTAGAAGATAGTACAAGCATTACTAACCAGTAGGTAAAAACATCTGGATCCTTAATAAAAATAGGTTTATTATTTTATTCAAGAGAATTAGTTTTAGATTTATGCTTTGGAACCTTGGCAATATATTTCTTAATGTTAGTGAAATGTGCCACAAATGACTGAAAAATGAACAACAGAAACTGTACACTGTGTATAATAAACACCTTTTTCAGACCACAGTAAAATAATGAGATGAAATAAAACAACCTCAGTAACAGCCCATTCTTCCATGGGTGCAAATGCTGCCAAAGCAGTTAAATGGATGTAATTTTACTGTAAAAGTCCTGTCTGAATGCTGGGTGCCATGTTGACAATTCATACCCTTGCTAAACAGGAGAGCTTTGAAAGAAAAACAGTAGTCACTTGCCTGTGGAGTTTTAAGATCTAGAACTTTATCTAGATCTAGTATAAGATCTAGTATTTTATGTAAAACATTCTTAATTGATGGTATTCTACAACATTTTTCAGGGCTAAGAGGTATCATTTTGAATGTGCACATACAGAACCCGCATAAAGCGAGGGAAACCTGCACTCAGAAAAGCTGAAGTGTGAATTCAAAACAATAGCAGTATGCTGGTGTATCTCCCCGTGCAGACTCTTTATGTCAACTGGTATGAACAAAGCGGTGTTTCCTGGTACAGGTTTCCCTCATGTTATGAGGGTTCTGTATGAGCGAATTCGCTCTTTTGTGATGACCCTTTTTATACCAAAAATTCGTGATATGCGAGGTAAATTCCCTCTTATGTGATCGGTGTGGTGGAAGCCCACAGTCAGCTGCTTTGTGTGGTGCGTTGTAGGAGTGATGAGCACCAAAATACAGTCTCCTGTGTGGATCCGTCTGTGCTCCTCGCTCAGTCTGCATCACATGTTTCTGTAGCCGCCATCCCCATGATGGTAAAGTTCAACACCACCCTGTGGTTGTGTGAACTGTCTGCTGTTGGGGAGTACTGAAATTGTCTTGTAAAAGTGATAGACATGGGTCTGGGGGTCAGGACAGTCGAGGTCTTGCAAACTATCCCTATTTGCTACATTGCAAAGTGAGTTCCTCCTATGCGAATTCAAGTTATCCAGGGATGTGTTTACAGCATGAAGCGAGGGAAACTTGTATAATTTTCTGCTCAGCCTAACAATGCTTGAGCCAGGGTGAAAATAAGGGCACGAGTTGCTTCTTGTCACTATTTGACCACCCAGCATCTTTATTAGAAGCTCAGCTGCTCGTGTCCCTATTCGTTACACTGCAAAGCAGGTTCCCTCTATGGCAGACAAGATTCTTTGGGTGAATCTGATATCTTTTATCTGGTTCCTTCTATGCCAATTCAAGTTATGTGCCGTTTTCCAAGAATGCATGTACAGCATAAAGTGAGGGAAACCCGTCTAGAAATACTAGTATACTGTGCTGCCAAAGCATATAGTATCCATAGCATTAAACAAAAACGTACCGCTGTGGAAAGGGAGATGCACTGCCTGGACAAGGTGTCTCTCTCTCTCTCACAGCTTCATATCCTTGACTAACCAACTCCGGCTGCAACATGCACGCGGGTGTAGCTCGCTTGGCCTTAACACGAGCAGGGAAACCCCTGACGAGGTCAACGCCGCCCAGAGTAAAAGGCTCTCACGGCCGAGAAGGCGGGCAATGAGCAGCCCCCCCGCCCGGCAGAGGAAGGCCCTGTGCGCATGCGCGGGGTGGGGCCGCTTCTGGCTGGGCAGCTCAGACACACGTGCTGCAGGCGCCGCCCGCGTTCCCTCCCGGCCTCAGCCCCAGCCGCAGCCATGGCGGCCGTGGCCGAGGCGGGATCCCCCGAGCGCTTCCAGGAGCTGCTGCAGCAGAAGGGCGGGTACGTGCGGCCAGGGGTCGGGAGGGGACTCCGCGGGGTCTGCTAGCTCCAGCCCTACCCCTACCCCCCGGTCACTGGCTGAGGGGAGGCCCGAGGGC